TCTGGTCCTCTGTGCCCACTGTTCTTCTGGTCCTCTGTGCCCACTGTTCTTCTGGTCCTCTGTGCCCACTGTTCTTCTGGTCCTCTGTGTCCACTGTTCTTCTGGTCCTCTGTGCCCACTGTTGCACTAGTCCTCTGTGCCCACTGTTCTTCTGGTCCTCTGTACCCACTGTTCCCCTGGTCCTTTGTACCCACTGTTCCACTGGTCCCCTGTGCTCACTGTTCCACTGGTCCTCTGCGCCCACTGTTCCTCTGGTCCTCTGTGCCCACTGTTCCACTGGTCCTTTGTACCCACTATTCTACTAGTCCTCTGCGCCCACTGTTCCACTGGTCCTTTGTGTCCACTGTTCCTAGTGTTCCACTGATCCTCTTTGCCCACTGTTCCTACTGTTCCTCTGGTCCTCTGTACTCACCGGTCCTCTTTGCCCACTTTTACATCCATCTGTTAATTATTGATTATTTCAGAACCCGGTATATGAGAGACAAGCCCAAAATTACAGGCGCGTAGCGTCCTATACGCATATACGCACGTGCGTACTTGAGGTGACCAGAAAATTTTGATAACAATGTTGTGTTTGCGCCAAGTTTGCTCAAAATAAGGGCGAGACGCTTTGTTCTTTGCTTGTATTCACACAACTATTTCGAACAAGAAATAAAGAACGCAGTATTTTTCGCTCAGTTCTCTTAGGTTTCTAGATCATATACACTTGTGCGTACTTGAAAAAATGACCACGCTACGCGCCTGAATTATAGATGATAATATCGTCGCCTGTAAACCGGCTTAAAAGCAGATATTGAATATCGTTAATAGGTTAGGCTAAAAACAAGCCGGCTGGTCGGCACATAGATAAAAAGAAAAAAGGAAAAAAATCAAGAGCGGTTTCCCAACAGAAAGATGAAAGTTGTTTTCCTTGACGGCAGGACCCGAGGATTTGCTTGTAGTCTTGGGCAAAACATCTCGTTGGGTGCTAATTTCGATAATAACAACGACGATCATATGATCTTTAACAATTATTCCACGAGCGCGCGTTGGATGCGCGAGTAGAATAATTGTTTTATTAAAAACCTTAAATCAAATTATTAAATTTCATTAAATTTTTTAGCTCCCTTTTAATTTTAAGCTGACACGTGCTTACCATATTTGTAGATTATGGTATATTGGCTGATATACCATAATGGCTAAGCCAATAAAAAGTCTTGAATTGCATTTTCCAATGATCTAGTTTTTAATAAAAGGAATTATTCCTGAATTTTGATGACAGATTTTGTTGAGTGAGCTGCTAAAAAATTGTGATCGTTTAAAGCAAAACCGCCGGTTAGCACGATTCGCAACGAACAGGCAGAAAAGGAACAATCTTAGAAACGCTGGGCATTTCTAATTCGACAAGTCACAGCCAATCACGAGAAACGATTTCAAGAGATGGCTCATTCCTTTCTCTTGAGTGCAATTGGCTGATTACATCCACGTGATTCACCCTGTGGCCGCTGGCACGCAAAAGGCGTTCATCATGTTGATTCTATCGAATGTGGAGCGGTTTGGACTCTTCCTTCGGGACTAGTTTCTGGGTAATTGTCTTCAGAGGGCTTAGGAGCATACCATTGAGTTTTCTTTCGCTTTGAATCTTTTGTTTCAATCATCTGGGAGGCAGAAAAACGGCGGGATCATGCCGGTTCGTAAGGAAGGTAGGTCGTCTCTGCTAGTTTGAATGACGGGGAGTTCTGCAAGAAGCAGTGATCACTGAAATTATGTCATTGCTATGTAGTGATTTTTCGAATTAAATTTAAATGCTATTATTTCAGATGCTAGCAAGGCCCTCGAGCTTTTGGAGCGTTACTACGAGAAGTTAAACAAGCCACAGGATAGAGCGCTTCGCATGGCTATTGAGAGAGTAATTCGGATATTTCAGAGTCATCTGTTTCTAGCTCTACTAGGTAAGATCCGTCTGATGTTTGGATTTTTTTTAGTGTTATATTAAGTGAAGGGTACATCTTAGCGGTGTTATCCTAATAATAATAGTTGTAGGGCTTTATTTTCCTTTCGATCTTGTTGTCTTGACAATCTAGAATAAGAAATAACCCGCCAGAGCAAGTCGTCGAAGTGGATTTCAATAGGTCCGCGTTTGTAATATTTCTTTAGCCCCCTTTCTGTTGTGTTATCAAACTGTATATTTCTTCTATAATTAAAATTCAGATATACAAGAGTTTTATGAAACCACATTGTTAGAAGACACCAAAACACCCGAACAAAAAGCTGAAGAAACTCATGAAGCCTTACGAAGTTGGCAGAGTCATCCTGCCCCTGTGGAATCGCCTCCAAGCTATCAGGATTTCGAAAAGGTAAACTTGTAGACTTTGCTTCCTGTACTTTGAAACGTGTTTTTCTAGAGTAGCGTAACGAAATCTGATAATGTGGCGAATGTTCGAAATAACTAACAAAAACATTTTGAAGTTTGTTTCTTATTCGAGGAGAGGCAATCACAAAGGAAATGAAAATTGACATATTTAAACACTGGAACATTTCCTGATGCAAGGTGCAATTTTACAAGATGACAGATTTGCGTGTGTGAAATCTGAAATATTGGTCATGTGTAGGCGAACCATCATTGTTGTCCTTAAAAGAATTCTGTAATTACTCTTTTGTGTATCAAGCATTATGATCTGCGATCAGTTTACGTTAAAACAACTTTTTGCTGAGATCTTTGACAAGAATCATTTAATTTAAAATTTTCTGTTACCAGCAGTGATAATTAAGTTTTTTATTGGTTTAGATTAACCTGTGATTCATCACAATACAAAATAAACCATTTTAAAGGGTACATTGCTTTTGATACGACATATTAGCAGTGAGGTTTTTCCTTCAGCCCATCGTGGACCAAACATTAGTAAGAATACATTTTTATGCAAATTTCTGCTCTGTTCTACAGTTTGCTTAGAGAATGACTTTAATTTGTGCTATGTTTGTGAAACCTCTGAACATGTTTCACAAAGTTATACTCATAATGATAAATTTTGACCCCCAATTCCTGTAGATGTTAGAGTGTTAAAAGGATTTAGATTTGGAACAGATATGCAGGGAATAATCATAAAGTTATGGCCAGTGTCATGTTGTAATTTTTTTCTTATAATCGTTCTGGAATGGTGGCATTCAGGGACTGTCATACTTCAAGATTTTCTCACATATTTAATTTTCAGCGTTACTAACATTACACTAAATGACATTAGCCCTTTTAAACCGTAATTCTCAGAGTTGTTGCTTGATTTTATTGCTGTCTCTGATGACTTTACTTGCCTTTAAATTTATATCAAGATTCAATTTGTTGTTAAGACTGTACATCTGATAAACAAGCTATCATTTCACCATTTGTTTTAATTATTGTTTCAAGGGAGGTGTAAATGGAGAAACAGTCCCCCCTCCAGTTGTTACACAAAGTATTGTCCAGAGTGTTCAACAAGACAGCTTTGTAGAGGTTTGTCATATTTTTTAAAACATGAACCCAAGATTTTCTCATCAATTCTCTTAATAGCTGCAATATGTTTCTTTCAATGTTAGCAAATAGAATTTTGGATTTAATCAGGATAACTAATTTTTAATTGATAGTTATTCTTATCACCTGTTTGTTGGAAAATGTATATCAATTTGTAAAGAGAAATTACAGTTTAATCACTGGTGATAGTTTAAAGGTTAACCATTTGACTCCGTATGATGACTAGGGTGTCTATCCTTCCAATAATCTTGCACACGGCAAAGGAGAGGAGTAATGAGATCAAGGATGACCTTGAACTAGAAGATGTTGTTGTGATTTAACCATGGTCAAGAAAGAAATTTCAGACCCTACAAGTTTTGGAAGGGTGAAGTTTTTTCTTGAAAATTGCTGCCTTAAAACTACAGCCAGAATCATGTTTCAATGTATACAAAACCTTTATTCACTATAGTCACTAAAAGTACAAAAATTATGATAAAAATTGGCCTGCTTTGTTTAATAATAATGACAGCAATTATTTACAATTTTAAACCATATATCTGATTATTTACAAATTTTTAAAATAATTAACATTAATGTTCACGATAGAGGACTGATTACAATATATGAGAAAAGAAAAAATTTAGCATTACTAAATAGGAAAAACTATTAAAATAATAAAGACCTAATAATTATGAGTGCAGATGTTGACCAGCTACAGCGAGGGTGAAGTCTTCTGCGACCTCACGTGATTTAAATGTTTCAATGTTGCTAATGGTAGAATATTTGAAAACTTTGATAGGAGATTATTTTTATGATTTTGTTGTCGTATTTTATCAGTTTTAATCGAAAGTTAAATTTATAAGGTGAGGTCTGTAGTGATATAAGTGGATCAATAGTACATCCATTGCTATGGAGATAAGAGGCTCACTCTAAAGTGAAATAAATTTGTAAGTTTATTAAATCATATTCATAGTATTTCACTTTTGCTCTTGTTTTTTTTTTTTTTTCTAAATTTCATTAAGCATCACTAAACTTCTATTTGTGATCAAAATATAACATTTCATTCTTTGTTTTCATTATTAAGTACAAGGCAATGCTTTAATCTATTTTGGCAATGCATGAAAGAAGTCTTAGTATGTATGTGTTTCATCTTATTAGTGACATATAATTTTATTATACTAATTCCACACATTTCTGGCTTGGTGGTGAACAAAACCTACTTAAAATTATGAATACATCTCATTTTTAGAAAAGGTTTGTTCACATAACTCTGAAAATAGCCTAAATTTGACTTTAGAGAGGAAATTTCTTTCAGACACAGATTTAGATCAATCTGTTCTCCTCTGATACCAAAGAAAAAGCTGTTGAATATAGTACCATATTCCTGCTTTCCTTGAAAGTTAGTTAATCACCTTTCATTGAGACTAAGTGATGTCTGGTTTTTGGAATTTTTTTCCACTTTCAAATTAGTTTAGAGTTTTTTATGCATGGTTCAGTTCCAAAATGATTTAAGTTTTCTCATATTGGCACCACCTTGTACTCACAACTCAAAATGTAGATTCCCTTTGTATGTTATCACTTAAATTATTATAATGACAGGTTGGCTTTTCACCTTTTAGTGGAAGTTTTCTGTAGTTGAACAAATTTTTCATTCTCTTCACATAGATCATAAATAACATGTACATGTATAGAGAATTTAGTCACAAATCAACCTTGCATTACTTCTCAAGTGTATCAGGAAAGGGTGTTGCCTACACAACCACAATTTTTCCTATGGTGATAATTAATTGCATTTTATCATAAATGGATTGTCATCTTATGAGTAAAGGAACAAGAGAATGGCCTTATCTTGAACTATGCCAAAAAAAATTAAAGGATTGAAAGACTGTTTGTCTGGGTTTTATCAGCTTGTGCATTGAAGCTTGACATTTGTATTCAGTTTTTGAAAAGATTGTGGTTTTGTTCACATGATGTTTGGACTTAAGCAGCTTATTAGTATGCATAGTTACCACTACTTACTGAACCTTGAAGTGTCATGTTACAACAGATGCCATAGGTTTCTTGTGTGAATTTGTGGTTAATTCACCCAAAGAATTGGAAAATGTTGGCATTGAAAATTCTGTTGATATTTACAAGCATATAGGATTCAACTTTGCAATGAGGAAATTACTAAGATCCTGCACACCATTCAGTGGGGTACAGACACTCATTGAAGTGTATCTTGTTTTAATGGGTTTGCTTTTTGAGGTTATTTGTATATCTATTAACCCTAGCTTGTGTTGTATTTTTGTATCTTTTAACATTAGAAATCAACTGCTGAATCTTCACATGCTGATAGTGTATTGGTGAGTACAGAAAGAGAACTGTAGAACTAAACTTGTTAAGTGCCCTCAATTGATAAGAGTCGACATGCCGTTATGCTTATCCATGCTCAGAAAGTGCACACTGCTCTGTGTTTGTCTTATTTTGCTGACACTGGGTGGCTTGTCTCGCATAATTTTGCAGGCCAGCAAATGGTGCTTTTGTAGTTCAGTTTTTGTTGAAAGCAACAAGGGCGCTAATACGCCTGACAGTTGATGGCTATTACTTATGCCAATAAATTTTACAGTGTCACCTTAAGTATGTAAAAGTTTGATACAGTCTGTTGTCTGCACATTCAGTCTTTAGCTGTTAAATATGAGATTATTTCATTAAAGCTGTCAGGAGAGTTCAGCAAATATTTTTGGGCTTCAAATGTTAGTTTATTGGCAGAGTTTGTTCCAGGATGGTTTTTGCATCCATGTTTATTATCCTTTTGTAATAGAAACTACAAAGTTCTTGATTTATCAGACCTTTGTACCTTGAAATGATGTTGTGTCAGATATTGATACCCTTTCTGGAGAATTTTTTCATGTATGATAAGTTTGTTTTCCCACCAAAGGTTGGAAAATATATCTTTCAGTTGAAAATCTGTTAATATTTCTAAAATTGTTTGGTAGTACATTATAGATGGGCAATTTCTACAACTGTAGTGAGTTTATTTTTTCCAGAATTATATCAATAGAGATCATAGAGGAATAAAGTTTTTTTCTGGAATTTCAACAATTGTTTCAATGCTTACATTGTCCATAGCATTATCTTGTTTCCTCTGTCAACTGCATCCTCTCAAAAAAAGAAATCAAAATATCGAAAAAAGGTGAATAAATGAATAAAAACAAACTGTAAACCAAAGCTGACAAGTATTAAACAGTGACCGGCTTCATTAAAAAAAAAAAAAAAAAAAGGCTCAAATAAAGTTGGAAAGGGTTAAATTCCCCTCAAAGATTTGTAATTTCTAATCATTAATAAAAGTTTGCTTATTTTTAATATTACTGGAAACATGAATTGGGTCATCTTTGACATTTTAAAAGCTCTGATATCTTTATTGGTTGTTGTATATTTCCTTGTATGTTCAATCCAAACAAGTTCTCTTCAGTGGGAGTTGTCCATGTGGTCAAACCCAGTTTAATTACTCAGTTGTGAATTAGAAAGCTGTTCTGTTTTTCACTTTAATGCAGGGGGCTCTCAACATGATAATCACTTGATAACTACAAGCTATATACATAAGAGTACCAGTTGTTTTGATAAATCAGTAATAACTACCTGTAGTGGTACACACAACATTGGTTTCCAAGGAAAAAATGAAGAGTTGACTTAACTTGAGTTATATTTTCCCATCACTTTTGAGTAACAAATTTAACAAAATTGTTTTTTATTCAATATTATTTTCTGAAATAATGTGAGAAAAAATTGGAGTCATCTTCTCATACATTTGGACTCTTAATCTTTAAAAGGTGCAAAGAAATTATGTGGTGATAATTCTGAAGAAGCACATAGATCAGTTGTGAAAGTTTTTATCATCAAAACAGTTTGAAAACAGAGCTGATGAATACTCTGATACTGTTGTAGACAAACCTTATTTGTCAGTTTTGAATGTGATGGACTAGAACATTTCTTAACTGCTTTCTTAATTTTTTTTTTTTTTTTYCAGGAAAATGGTTATGTTGACTCAGGGGATTATGAATACGTAGACATCATTTTAGAAAGGGTAGGATTATTTCATTGATTTTCTTAAATTCAAATTTGCGCTGCCTCTTTCCTAGAAATTTATATTTATTTTTAAGACAAGTCTTGCTAATGAGGTGAGGAATTCTAGTGATGTGAAAACTGTGCTTGTTATCAGCTACTTTGTAAAAACGGTACGAGGAAGATTGCATTAAAAGGGGAGTGTGCAAAATTTTTTTATCTGTTCTGGCAGGCTAGCCTACCTAAAAGGAAGCTGAAAGAATTTGTGAAGCTCTTTGTCAAACACCATTTTTTTCTGAGTTTGAGAATAAGAGAAATTTATCTTTCAATCTTCCTGTCCATTTATGACAGGCCTAAAGAGTTCCCGATTATCTCTCCAGTGATTCAACTGGTCAGTGCATGTATTTGATTTTTATGATGACATCTGTTCTTGCGTGTTGTTTTTTTAGGGTACAACAGGTCTTGGGTTTAGTATTGGTGGAGGAAAAGATAACCCACATATTGATGACGACTTTGGTATTTACATCACAAGGATCATCAAGGGAGGTGCTGCTTCACAGGACGGGAGGCTGAAGTAAGTGGGCTACAAACTAATTTAGAGTAATAATTTGAATTTATTACACGACTCGGGCAGTCAGAGGGCCAATAACTAAAATCAACCAATCAAAATGCTCTATTGCCCCTTAGTGTTCAGAGATCCTTTTATTCATAACTTTAAGACGGTCTTGATTACTGAGTGATATGCGTGATTTGGCTCGTATCATCGATCGAACGAGCGGAGTCATCCAGCCCGGGTCTCTTGAAGACATGCGCACCGTTTTCAGAGGCATGCAGCTATCCAGGTGCCCTAGGATGGTATTTTCGAGCCTACCAACCACTTTATCGACATCAGTTTCCTGTATCATATCATCCCAGTTTTCCTTCGCTAACGCGATATACAGATCACGCTTGATTGATTTGGTTTTTTTTTTTTTTTTTTTTGCAGTGTTGGAGACTGTATAGTGAAGGTGAACAATACATCAACAGTTGATGTGTCTCATCAGCAAGCTGTGGAAGCCTTGAAAGCTGCTGGTGGGACTGTGACACTGGTAATTGTCAGCTTTTACATGTCATCTTTTTCATTAATAAGGATTTAGTATCAAACAACTGCTGTTATGTTTGCTTACATTTTGAAACATTGAGGAAATATTGTGAAAGCAGTCAAGGTGTTTAAAATTGTATCTAATATTCAGCATCTTGCTTGTTTCTTTTTTTCTATCATACTGAATTTGAACAACTAATAGAGTTGCTAAAGAAAAACATTGATTAGTTAAAATTACCCATTGTGTTTTTTGTGGAAGAGTACAGATATAAAGCTCTGAGAAAGTTTTATTATGGGTCATTTTATGCAAGAAATCAAAGTGTCACTATATGAAAAGAGCTGCAATTATGCATAACTATGTGATTTTTTGAACTGATAGACCTTAAAGAGAGAGCAATCTGCTAAACCACTATCTGGAAATAAGCAAACTGAAGAAATAGTGTTGACAAAAGGAACCAAGGGTAAGAGAGGCTCTATACAGGTTCAATACAGGTACAAAGCAGGCTTGATACAAGTTGAAGATTACAAGCATCTGATCTTGCTTTTCCATACATGCAGTGTTTTACCTGACTTTTTTACAAATGAATTATTTTCATTGTAAAGAAAAGAAAGAAACTTGTACAATCATATACTGTTTTTCAATTGTTTTTGTAGTTTTGTGTGTTTTAAATCAGTACACCTGCATAAGTTGTTTACAAGATGTTGTATTGTTTTGTTCAAACAGGTCTTGGTTTTAGTATCGCAGGGGGCAAAGGAAATCAACATGTACCGAATGACGATGGAATTTACATCACCAAGATAATTGATGGAGGGGCGGCACAGCAAGATGGAAGACTACAAGTAGGAGACAAGATAGTTAGGGTGAGTTACATGTTAATAAATAAGTATTTTATTGTTCTATTGGGTATGGGAAAGTACCATCCTGGAAAAAATTGAAATTAAGAAGGAAGAGAGCAGTGGAATGTTTGTATATAAGAGGATTATAGAAACAAATATGGCTCTACAAAGTACTTCAAGTCATACTTATTATAAATATCCAGTGCGCTGGACTCTGGGTCGGTTGGCCCYGGTTCAAGTACTGGCTGGGGCATGACGTTGTGTCCTTAAGCAAGATGCTTCACTCACATTGCTTCGTCTTCTCGGATAAGACGTAAAGCTGTAGGTCCCGTCTCCTGCAGGGTCAGGGGCAGGAGACGTAAATTTCCCATGCACAAGATTTCTGTGTAGTGGATGTCCTCCCCGGGGTGGAATGGGTGGGAAGGTGAGATCGCTACATGGACTGAAGCAGCTGCCAGAGGCGCCTGATTAAAATGCTGACATCCGATCTCAACCTTACGATACTGTTAAGCACGACTGAATATATCCACATAGAAGTCTGCGCTATATAAATGTAAAAATGTAATGTAATGTTCAGCAGCTGATGTACAAAGATATTTGACTTGTGGTGTCCTCACCCCACTATAGGTAAATGACACATCCCTGGAAGATGTTGCACATGAAGATGCTGTGGCCACATTGAAGAAGACACAAAATAAAGTTGTTATTGTTGTATCCAGAGTAGGCATGGTGCATACAACTGATTCAGGGACCCCTCCCCCAGTTTATCATGAAGCTGTCAATTTAAGTGAGTACCAGGCCTCTCAGCTTTTAAATAGCAGAAATAATGTGTCGTTTTGGTTGGTTACTTATGCATGTGTCAAGAATAACCAGTTCTCTGAAGAGATCTTTAAATGGACAGACACTACTTGACGTGCTGGGGGTGACACTCTATTGCTATTGACCCAGTAGTCTCCATTGTGGCCTGCTAATTGAAAATTCTCAAACAACCAGATTTTAGTCATGCAAATCAAGTGAAACATGGGTAAAAAAAAACCCAGCGAGGAGGAGGCATACCAGTTAGTTATTTACCAGTTAGTTATTTACCAGTTAGTTATTTACCAGTTAGTTATTTACCAGTTAGTTATTTACTAGTTAGTTATTTACCAGTTAGTTATTTACCAATTAGTTATTTACCAGTTAGTTATTTACCAGTGTAGTTAAGGAGTTGAACAGGGACTACCCAAAGAGGAATACAAACCAGTGACCTCAGAATTGAGTTTTCAAACTCCACACGACCATGCCGCCACCTCTCGTCAAATGGAACACATAGTTTGCTCTACACACAGTAGTGTCTGTATCAACCAACATGGACCGTGTTTACTGTGATTTTGTCCAGGTTTCCCGTGAACAGGGATGACATCATGGAACAAGTGAAGATCTATGGTTGACCCTTTCTCTTGGGCATTAAATTTAGTACAAACGTAAACTTAGTGTGGCATTCTGGCTTGGTCTTTGCCAAAGCTTATTTGAAATTTGTTTCTGTTTGAAACCTTTAAACAAAACATGTAACTCTGTGACAAGGTTAAACTCAGTTAATGGAAACTGGACAGCTGAGGCAAGTTACATGACAGTATGTCTATTTCCATGGTAGGTCAACCGCCCCCACCATCCCCCCCACAGGAAGAAAAAGCCACAGACAGCATACTGCCATTAGTAGTGCCGATTCAAGAAAGTGCTCTACCTAATGAACATACTAACAGTTTAAAAAAACCACAAGCTCCATCAGTGCCAGAGGATGATGGTTTTACAAGGTAACAGTGGAGGCAATCTTGTACATGTATTTAGGATCCTTTTTCTGTTTGTTGATTTTTTGGTTTGAAGGTTGTCATTTCATAGGGTCCTAGATTGTGAGGAGATTACAGTTTCGTGTTATGTGTATGGAAGAAAATGTTGTTTGTTGCGTTCCTTGTGAGGCAGCGTGTTAAATGATATAGAACAATATATCATTCGAACCATTTCTCACGGAAATACATCAAATTTACTTTTAATGCCCCTTCAAAGTACTTGTCTCTAGATTTAAATTTAAACCACCAACACACTGCAATGCTGTTGCTAATTAAAACACAAGCTGAACTGACATTTCTTACACAACTTTAATTACATGGTAAGAAAGTTAAGTTTCTATTTGCGATAAATTTGAGGTCGTATCTTGACAGAGAGCCAAGAAAGGTCGTGTTGAGCAAGGGACCCACAGGCCTGGGATTTAACATTGTGGGCGGTGAAGATGGTGAAGGGATTTTTATCTCTTTTATTCTTGCTGGTGGTGTGGCTGATCTCAGTGGAGACCTGAGAAGAGGCGATCAAATCCTCTCGGTAAGATTTTTATTAACTATATAACTCTTATTTTCTTCGAAGTTCTTCCAAAAGGGAAGAGTTTGTAGCATTTACGTGAATCAAGGCGCGCATGTGAGCAATCACATGTTCTCTTAGCCAATCAAGTGCAAAGCTTGGATCGATATTTTCCCGCGCTTACCTTCCCAACTCTGAGTTATTGGGATTCGACCGTATTTGATTTCATTAACTAGTGAACTCCCTTTCCAATCAGATGCTGATGATTTACATCAATGATTTACATCAATATTTCCCGACCTTTCTTGGAACCGAACTGTTTTTGTTGGTTTAACCGCAGATATTGCAACTGTTATTCTTTTGTTCTTTAACCTAAATATTTGTGCAGTAAACCGCATAGTTTTGTTCTTATTAATTCGTTTTAAATCAGCGTGGGTGAGAATCTTCGGTGTTCGCCCACAACCCGTGGGTAGTGCAGTCGATTTTCGTCCATTATTTCAATAAGATTTAAACAAGAAACAAATATCGTTCCGCTGAACAAGTAGTATCGAAAAGGAAACGGCAATACACGTTAATGACTTAAGCAATATTCGACAGTTTGGCAGTCTTTCTTGGCATCTTCCAGGTAAAAAGGAAATAAGGAGCTGTTTAGATGTAAATTATATATAATCTCGAAAATTTGTCATTTATTTGATTTGTTTGGAGGATCCAAGCGTGTGTGATCTCGGTGTGTGATTCCTAAGTGAATTAAAAGGATGTGATAAGGCTTCTTCTTGATCAGCATTAGCAATTCATTTTTCATCAGCATTAAGTAACAAGCACCATTATTTTCACAAGTCACGATTAAAATGTAAATTTCGACGCGCTTAAATCATTCTCTTCATAATTGCCATCGTGTAAAGAGTCGCTATCGTTGTACAGACCCATCTGATGAATTATAAATAACGCAATCACATATACCAACAAATTAAACCGAAATTGTGCTAGAAGCAACCATGATATTCGAGTCAGTTTTGTTAAAATTTGAATGATAATAGTCTCATTCTCGTTGTGTTTCAGAGAAAGGAAGCTCAATTTGAGTTCATGTAACCGTTTTTTAAGATTATAATGTATCTAAGCTTCTCTTGATGTATTATCCTTTTCGTTGCTGAGTTCATTTTGCTTATTTTACTCAGGTAAATGACACAGATTTGGAGGACGCCACACACGAGAAAGCGGCCGCTGCACTGAAGGGCGCTGGGAACACTGTGGTGATAGTGGCTCAGTATAAACCAGAAGGTAAACGGGGCTATGCTTATTGATTTCACTGTTAAAAACTCGTCTAGATTTCACATGTGGTTTTCACGCACCGCTCTTGAAGTTTCACTGCAAGTCTCAAAGATTTTGCCACTTGGCGAGATTTTGGAATTGAACGTTAAAGATTGGTTATGACAAAAAATGTCTTTGAAGTAAGAGTTTTTTTTTATAAAATTAGTTTTTCGAATTTATATTAACCAGTATACTGCCACTGAACTTCGAGTTTTCACGTCTCACGGAAATATAAATATGCGTTTAGAATGATTATATTGTTGGTTTTTTTTTTTTGTCTACTTTTTCGTCCTTAAAATTGTTATTTTCACACTTGAGAGAGTTGAAAAATTTGCAATTGCAGCCGTCACAAGATCCATGTAACTAATTTGACAGATTTATTTGGTCTCGTTAACCGCTCGGTGTATTTTTTGGCTGACATAAAAACAGTGTGTATACATTTGATTTGTTCTTATTCGACTTCCTGTATAAAATGTTTACAAATATCGCCATGTGTGTCTTTAATTTTATCAAGGCAACTTTTCCGCTAATGGTAATTTTTTGCAAGAGTGGTTTATTTTAAGAGTTGCTCGAATTATAAAGTGATGTTGATGCAGTGGTTTTCCTCGAAATTAAAGCTTTTTGTTGGTGAATTTGAAGGGGCTCAATATTATAATAAATCAAAACTTTCGCGAAGATCTGACAGAGATTTGAACAGACACGCTAAAAACAAACGTAGGTATCCGATGTTTCAACAGATAATGTCGGGTTTCCGTTGTTATTCCTATTTCAATACCTAGGCCGTCTATGGCCCTTGTTAATATACTGTTATTTCCCATTCGACAATGAAGCGAAATACTGTAATTGTCACAATTATTTCCTAAAAATGTCACTCAACTTGTCATTTGACCGATTCGTTGAAGTATCTATCATTTAAGCACGGAATATTCACGATGTCATCAGCATACCAATGAAAGCAATTTTTAAAGATGTCGCCTTGTTCAAGTCGAATATGTACTTCATCTGATGGATGGTGCTAAGTTTTAAAAAGCTGGATGTATGCAAAAAGGTGGATTATTTACCCGACTAATATTTTTATTGATGATCAGCGTGTGTTTAGTTTTGATTCAGTTTGAGCGTTTTGTGGCCTTGTGAGAATAAACAAAAGCTTGATGCACCCAGGAGGGACCACGCTTGTGATAGTTCATTAAATATGAACAGACAAAAAAAAGTGGATTAGATATGCGCTCCGGCTTAAGATTTCTGCTGCTGTTGCCTATATTCGTTGGCCATCGCAGAAAATTTAATGAACTTTACCGCGGAATTGCTATTAGTCGATCGAGTTTGACAGTTCGGCGCTTGGCGTAGCCCGGTCGCACGCCCGCGCCAATACAATATCACATCGTTTGAGATGGTTACACCAAGGGTGAAATCTTGATTCGTCGATTGTGAACGAATATTGCGTTACATTTGATTATTTAATGGCTAGTTTATCTTGGTAGATCTGATTTTAGAGTTCTAGTGGGTATTTCGGTCGGTTGTTAATTGATGAACTAGTCTACGCCATGAGCTTATGTACGTAACAGGCAAGTATCTCCAAAAATTTGCATATTGGAGTGGGAAAGTTACTTGTTAGCGCCGAGTTATTTAGTCTGTTGTAGCCGCGTGAACGCGTGGTTTTCTGGCAAGTTAGCAGCGATATAACGCTGAGGTTTCTGTCTGCTTTCTCTTTACAGAGTACAATCAGTTTGAAGCGAAAATTCACGATATTCGTGAGAAAATGATGAGCAGTGGAAGTCCGGGAACTCTGAGAACGTCTGTGAAGCGTCAGCTGTATGTTAGGTAAGAATTACACGTGAATATTTATCTCGTCTTTTAAAAATAGCTCGCTTGACTCAAAATACGACCCTGACTCGTGTCTTTAATCTAAGGAGATTAGTTATAAGGTTCTTTTCATCATTTTCGATTTTGTTAGGGGTATCATGTTTGCTAGGATCCCATGGTCACTTAAAACCGAGGGGTTTTGTGTCTCAAATGCCATATATCGCCATCTTTATTTTTAACACTGTTTCTGTCTCATTCAATTCAATCTGTGACGCTTTTTTGAAGTCACTGGCATTCCTGAAATGTTCGTCATTTTCTGTAGACATCGATCCGATTTTGTTTTGCTGTTTTTATTTTCACACTTCCTTCAACACGTTAAGAAGTGTGTACAGTTTGCAATAGCTGATTTTTCATATTTACTGTCTTGGATGTGAATATTTTATTGGATGTTTCATGAGCAAAGCAATACAACGGTGCAACAGAGAGAGAGAGTTTGGAATATCCACAAAAGGTTTCTTGCGTGACTTTTTCACATCAACCCTCCTGTTGCGTTATTTTCTGAACACACTCAGGGCGACAAGTCTTTAATTTACCTCTTGTTGTGTACAAAATCAGAAATCGTATTCATACTTTTTGATCAGTTTTGGGGAATACTGAAACTTGCGTCTACCTTTCAAGATAAGCGCGAGTACACAGTAAAACATTTTTCCAGCTTTGCTGCTTTGATAAAGACCACTTTTATGGGCAGGTTTCGATGCGCTGAGCTGATTAAATCGAACTAATATATTACTCTTATCTCATAATCTGCTTTGAATCTTTTTTTTCTGTTTTGCTTTCTGTGATTTCAGCTGTAGCTGGTTTTGAGTTCATAGCAAGGGCTAAAAAATTCGCCATTCTCTATCTTTCTCCGCGTGCTTATCTTTTAATGTCTGCGGAATGTGAAAGGGCTTTTAATTAATAGCAAATAAAGGACTGTTACCTACTGGGTTTTTTTATGACTTTGCATTCGGGTTTTTAGTTCCAATCATGAATGCAGTTGATGAAAGGATTTTGCTAGTAGGATTTCATATGCTAAATCTAGTGGATCAAATAGTTTGAATTGTCAAACTGTTCAGAGCAAAGTAGGTTAAAGCGGCTTTAATTAACAATTGCTCTAAATGATGGCGAATACGGAAAGTAAATAAATGGTTCTTCCAGCGAATTTATGTCGAGCTCCCCATTTGTAGTTATTATTAATCTTCTGGTCACATCTTTATTCTTTTTCTTATTTTTGTACTTAAGCACAAATTGTGTTTGCGTTCTACTTTAGAAGACCAACATTTCTAGATGTCCTTTCATGTTAAGAATGTTTTCTGAGTCGCTTTGTAGACTCAAAATCTCCCAGTTCCTTCCGCCTTCACGGTGCCCGTCCTGTTTTGCTGACGTCACGTTCGTGAACGACAGTGGGTGTAGGTGTGCAGTGGGTTGGTGTGATCGTAGGTGTGGTGTTGAAGGTGTGGGTGTGGGTGTGGTCTTTGGAAGAGGAGCAGGATGCCTATCAGGGCGTTTATTCCCGACCTCTCTCCTGATCTCGTGACATTTTATCTGTCATCTAAAATTTCCTGCGGAGATTATAAAGAAAGGCGTCCTCTATGCGCCTTCATTCCTAAAGGAGATTTCATTCTCCGCCCTGAATAGCTCAACAGTTGGTTTTTTTAACCCTCAGGAGGTCTAAGTTCTTATTACTGCCAGAGTAAAAGTGTCCGGTTTTACCCACATGGTACAATTTTATCTTTTTCAGGGCTCTGTTTGACTACGACAAAACAAAGGACAGCGGTCTTCCCAGTCAGGGCCTGAGTTTCAAGTACGGCGACATTCTTCACGTGACCAATGCTAGTGATGACGAGTGGTGGCAGGCCAGACGACTGAATGCTCTGGGGGAGGAGGAAGGGAGAGGTGTCATCCCCAGTAAGAGGAGGTAAGTAAGAACAACGCGTTGATTAGGATACTTCTCATGAGCTTTTTCAAATTATAAAATTGATTGTTTTTTTGCTTTTCAGAGTCGAAAGAAGAGAAAAATCGAGAATGAAAACGGTGAAATTCTCAAGAAATAGCGAGGAAAATAAAACAAGGGTAAATACCAGGTTCTTTAATTGATTTAATCATTTTTGATAGGTTGAGTATTTTTATGTAGAGTTGAATTAATTTGATTCAGGTTCAATATTCACCGGTGTTTGTTAATTCGATAATGAAAGAAGAAAAATTGACGTGAAGCTCATCCTAATCACTTTCACTTGTTCTAATTTCACTCAGCAGCCTTCTAATAGTTTCGTTCAGAGCAAATTGGTAGATTTTTTGTCACGTAAGTAAAGTAAACTGAGAAGATTCGACTTGAATTAGGGGAGAAAATGACTGTTGTTTCTATCTTTTGTAGACATCGTTTAATGAAGGAACAGGGGGTCGCAAGCGAAGCTTCAAATTTTCGAAGAAGCTACCATTCTTCAAGAAAGAATCCGAGAACGAGACGACAAGTGACGTAGAACCAAGTTATACTTCCAACGCTAGCGATAGTGAAAGCAGTTACAGTGCACGAGCAGAGGACAACATTCTATCGTACGAAGCTGTGGTCCAACACGAACTACAATACACACGGCCCGTGATAGTCCTAGGACCGCTCAAGGACAGAATCAATGATGACCTCATCTCGGAATTCCCGGATAAATTTGGCAGCTGTGTACCCCGTATGTAGTGATACTAGAAACACTTAAACAATTTTATTTATGCGTGTTTTGTGTTAAAAGTTTTACAATGAGATCATGGTCCTTGGGTGTGTCTAGTGACTCAATTTTCTTTAGTTAGTACACGTGCACCGTTTTGACGAACAAATTGCTTGTGTCTCTTTACATGGCTGACATCCCTCCCCGGGCCTTTAGTTTGAGCTCTTCTATTGTTCTTTATAGCTTAGCAACTCCCCTTCGCTTTCCTGTAGAAGGTACAACCCCCTCCCCCACGCTTCGCTTCGCCCCACTCTCCTCCGCTCCCGCGCACACTCCACCCTCCCCATAAAGAGTCTAACAGGGGGTGTGCCAAACAGCATGATAATCAACATTGCAAGGCTATTATGTAATTGTTTCTTTTTTATTACAGACACGACACGTGAGAGGCGTGACTATGAGGTGGATGGGCGGGATTATCATTTTGTAGAGTCACGCGAGGAGATGGAGCGATCAATTCAGAACCACATGTTCATCGAAGCCGGTCAATACAACGATAATCTGTATGGTACCAGTGTGCAGTCAGTCAAAGAAGTCGCCGAAAAGGTACACTTGCAAATGATAGGGTGTAGCTAGGAGTAGCAAAGAGACTCTCTCCCCCACTTCCCCATTTGCTAAAAAAAGTCATAATCCGGCCTAGCATCCCCACCCTCAAATGATACCAAGACGCCATTGTAGACAACCCGGCCCATGGAATGGGAAATTCTTTTATTTCTCCTTGTAGCAACTACTTTGATAGTCCCTTTTTGTAAAGAGATAAAGAAACTGGTTCATTGTGGCAATTATTCTACTGAAAAAGGCTAAAAAAGAATTAGTTCAACCTTCATCTCCTCCTATCCGATGGAAATCTCGCAGGGTTTGCCGAGAGATAAAGCATTTGTGTCTGTTATTGATTTTCCCACTTAATGTTGGATTCCACTTCAAAAACAGACATAGATCAGTGTGTAAATAGAAATGCCTCATAATTTCCATTGTAACTGATATTAAAGATTACTGCTGAATAAGACCAAAAAATAGTACAGAGGAGACTAAACGCTCCAAAGGAATCTGGGCATGTCTGTTCTTATTGTCTTGCGTTACTCAACATGTGGATGTTTTTCTAAGAACTGTCAAATTTTGAAAATCTGTATTAATAAGATCGAATTTTCTATTTCGTAGCATAAACATTGTATTTTGGACGTTAGCGGTTATGCCATTAAGCGTCTCCAAGTTGCAACACTTTATCCGATCGCCATCTTTTTGAAACCAAAATCTGTGGACTCCATCCGGGAACTCAATAAACGACTAACGGAGGAGCAGGCGCAGAAGACATTTGACAGGGCCCTTAAACTGGAACAAGAGTTTGGAGAATATTTTACTGGTGAGCGAATAAAACCTTACGTGGAATTATCACAAATTTCATTTATTAATATTGAAAAATTTGATATCTTCGTATCTTTATTCTCTATCGATATCTTCCAGTTTTGATGAAGACCTAATTTTGTCAATTCAAACCGATTTTGGCTCCGCTCCCTTTCTTTTGGTTTGTTTTTATTATCTTCGTTCTTTCTACTACATATTCAAGCAGTTTTCAATTTCTATCACCAGATACTGAGTGTTTACCCCACCAGTCCCTCGCTTAGAATGAATGCATCAAGAATTTCCTTGTCACTTGTAAACTGTGGAAGAATTAATCAATTTCGTTTACACTCTTTCCTTTTTTCTCCAGCGGTAGCCCAAGGTGATACCTATGATGAAATCTACACCAAATGTAAGGAAATTATACGTCAGCAGTCAGGGCCAGTTATATGGATCCCTTCCAAAGAAAAACTCTGAGTAGTACCGTAGTCCACACTCAATTGAGTCAGCAGATCATCCTCCAGACATGCCCATCCGTTGTCCAGTGTTTCCTTCGTTATGTATGGCGTCACGATGGCGCTTCATTGCTTTTGCGGGAAAAGATTAATTTGGCGAAGCCAGGGTTGAAGTGACTTTGTGACTTTGAAGATAGCATGTGTATATTCAGTTGTCTGAAATTCATTGCCCAGCTCACAGTTTTGATTGCCAATGCCTTTGCTCGTAAGAATCGGGACGTTGTTTCGACGTTTTGCTCTGCGAAAGTTAGTGCGCAATATCGTGTTTATTCATATATTTGTCACGGACGGTACTCTCTTGTTACTTTCACGACTTCCTCTATATATAGCTCTAATTTACAATGTCACGCACACATAATAAAAAAGCGTGACAATTGTCTTCCCAGCGCAAAGTTGAAATAACGGCTCTAGTTTTATCCAAAGGCTAATAGTTTATTATACTCGTTTAAAATGTCTCTCAAAAGTAACAAGTGACTGTTTTACTAGTCGCCAGACTCGAGCTCTAATCACCTCTCTAATTTTTATATCACGGCAGTAGTTAGATCGCGGCTGCCATTCGGGCTTCGTAATCCAATATTTCGTGACTTTTGTTACCTTTACGCATTGTCCTTCGAATCGAGTTATTCTGAATGTAGCCCTCTAACCTCATGATAATGTTTAGAGCGGTTTTCAGGGTAACTGTCAATCTTATCAAAGCAAACAATTCATGGACCAATGAAAATTCAGATCAGAATCATGTGATGACGGAGCCAGAAATGTATAGCAAAAAACTCGAATTAAGGATTCATTTAAACGTTTCATTGGAAATCGCTCTAACTTGTGAAGTAGTTATCTTTGTGTCTTTCCTAAATTTAACAGAAGTATTGTAAGAAAAAGATATAATTTTAATCTGTGTTGAATGGTTTGTCAAGGCCGAAAAATTGAAATGTTTGTCAGCTTACTGGGCCGTAAGACCATGAACGGAGAATCATTTGGGTTATTAAAAGAAATAGACAATGTTATTTTCACAGTCGATCATTTCGAAGCGGCCTTTGTTTAAAATTTAGCCCAGAACAATGTTGCATAGATTCTCGACTAAATTTGTCCCCAAGACTGGTTTGTTCGGTTCAGGGGAGGAATGCGGGCTCATTTCCTGAGCATTGGCTAGTAGTTGAGCCTACTTATTAGGCTCAGTAAGGCTTTTTCTTCACCTGTGGATTTCTGGCGAGCCCATAATCCTCTCCCCGTCTGTCCAGGAGAGGTTCTCAAGTAAATTTTGAAAACGTCCTGGAAACAGACCCAGTTTATCAGTATTATCGCGTTCAGGCAATTCTACGCCCTTGATCGTCTTCACTTCACGTCGTGTTGTTTTTCTTGAATTTTCCCTCAGGCAATTCATGGTCAAGCGATTCTCTGTGATAGTAGACGCCCGTCCTTTCTATGCGCTTCTTTTCTTTATCGTCACACAGTACTAAAAGAAGGCGACTTCTTCCCAGGCTAGAAGGTGGGTTTGGATTTGAATTCTGAGTACAGTAATTGTTCATGCCCCGCGTAAATTCTTCGTTGCTGTTGCTGGTCTTAGAAATGACTTCAAAATTATGACATTGGAGAAGGAAAGCTCGAGAAAGTGATCTTGGCCAATAAGGAACTTCCACTACTTCTGGTTAAAATCAATCCGCTCATTAACATGGAGAGAGAGTCATTTGTATTTGGAAATACGCGATAACATGGAGAGAGAGTCATTTGTATTTGGAAATACGCGATAAAGGAGTACAACTACATTGTACCTCTGCCAGAGAACATACCTTTTTGTTGCTTCGAAAGTCACTCGTCAGAAGTCTCTCGGCTACACGTGACTACACGTTGAAAACTATACCACCTGTCTTTTATCCTACCAGCGTAACTCAAGGATAAGGACTCCGCTCAGGGCTGCCTTGGACACGATGAGAGTCGTACAATATACAGTCAATTGTTTATTGAAGCGACTTTCACCGTCTCCAGAGACGGCAGCTAGTTGCACTTTGGTTTACCATATGTCATCGTTCTGAAAGTCGCAACAAATCTCGTGTTTTACACTTAACGTAAACACATACATAATGATATTTAAACAGCCGTGAGGGTAACGTAGGTTCAGGCTCACGCATTTGCACGGCAATTCCACACTTTCGTTCACAGGTATAACAAAAACAGTTCTGTTCCTCGTGGAGGAGAAGTGGTACCTGAGACTGAAAACTTCGAAAAGACATGACATTTAGGTATAGCGGTATTCATAGAAGAAATAGGTTATTTACAGGGTGGATTTTTCAATAGCTTGCCAAGCCTTCTAACTCGTAAGTGCGAACTTTTTTAAGGTTCCTAAGAAACTTGATACGAATTCGCATCTTTAATTCGTCACGGCACCATGAACTGCTCCGAGCTACTTTAAGTTAAATTATATCAGTAGAAACAAACTAAGAAGTAATACTTCGGAAAATTTCCTTTGACAAGGATATTTATCACAGATGAGAATATATAAATATAAACAGGAACACGAAATTCTCATGACAACTTCTTGCGGAAGACGTAACAACATCTGGCTGATTGGTGAACTGTAAATTAAATGTTTTTAAAATGTTCTTTTTCTTCCTGTTTGAGTTTATTTATAGAGCTTTTACCCTCTTTTGAATAATTAGGATTATGATCATTATTGTGTCTTCTGAGATGCTTTCAAAGTTTTAATAGAGTTTATCTACACACACGTGAGCCCTTTCAAGCCCCATAAACAGCTTCACTATTGACAGTTTGTTGATATGTATAGGCTGAAAATAAAAAAAATTATTTCAGTGAATTTCACTTTCCTTACCTCGGTCGATGGCGTGAGGCAGGTTTCTTTTATCGACGAAGCAGGCGCAGATATTGAAGGTTAGCCAGAACTCTAAGGATCATCTAGTCTCAATTCTGTTCATTGCTTGCTAAACTATAAGGATTAAGTCTGTTTCTGAGCGGGCCATACACGGAAGTTATGCCTCAGGCCGACTCTTAAGTGACTGAGAACCATCCAACCGCCATGCTACGGAGATGATGCTGAGAATACATTAATTATTCAGACGTTTTAGGATAAATACACGACAGGAATAAAGAAAAGTTCCGCTTGATAAAAGAGCGGACACTAGTTAAGATCTCCTCAATACCTCTGCCTAATTACGGAGTGATTACTGGGATTCATATCTTTTTTGGAATGGTAAGATGCTAGATGATAAAGCCCAAGTAAAATGTTCGCAAGGGCTTCTGGGCCACAACTGCAGGGGTTTATCCCAATTTTCGTTATGCGAAGGGACCAGTAGGAGAATTGCTTCGCATCCTGGAGGGGATAATAATTACACATACCTCCCTCCCCGGGGGGGAGTAGGGCCCACTATGTTAGTTTGTCGTATGATTCTAAGGCCTGGGTAGGGAGGGGTGGAAAGAGACTAGTATCGTAGTAATTCCTATCTATGGTTCATCGTGACACTCCTGAGACAAAATAAACGCCTCAATCAGTCAATTATTGCCTCGTGCACCTCCCCCTGTCTGTAAAATTTCGTAAGAAACGAGAAAAAGTCTTTTGTACCCCGATTTTTCCTCACTTTGATAAGCTGAACTCTTCAATACAGGTATGGAATTAACCTAATTTGCATTGCTTTGAGACAAACCCTGAAAAGTTCAAGAATCAAAGTCCTTCACACGCACCAGGAACAATACTGTTGTATGATTTTGGTTTATAAATTGACAGAAAGCCGTATTGAACTGATTAATTTCCTTTAAGTTTTTCCCAAAAGCCTTGTATTGTTTAATATTTCTAACATTATTGGTGTAGATACGTTGAATGGGAAAGTTTCTCTAACTCTTAAGACCAGGAAGACGCGATGAATAAGAAATTTGGACTCTGGTCACGTTTGCTCAATATAAAATGAAGTGATTTTATTTACCTGTTGTCATCCTGGTTTAGTTAGTTAGTTGACTGTTTGAAGAAAAAGAAAGAGTACAGCCTTTTCAGTTATTGAAATCTTCACAAGTCTTTGTATAAAAATGGCTATTTTAACTTAATTCACACAAATGAAGACTCATTGTACATTTTCCACCGACGCAGCAGAATTCGTTAATTGGAACGAAAAATTACTCAAAGAGTTTCTCGTAAATTAACATAACGACAAGTGCAATTCAGCTATCAAAGCGATCGCTATATTCATTCTGTTGAGACAATGGATCTTTGATGAATTGTTGATGTAACACGTATGCTTAAACCTATGTTTTTCTTAAAGGCTTTTTTTCGTCTGAGTTATTTGCACAAATACTAAACTGACAATTTCACAGATTTATAATTTCTTTATAATCGGTCAGAAGAAAAACGGTAAAAACTACTTGCATAAAATAGAACGTTTATTAATTTCTTGGCTTGAAAATTCGAGAAAGTGAGGTTTGATGATGTGATTGGGACGTAAAAATTCTTCTAAGATTATTAATTATGAGACTCTGTGAAAAAGCAAACCATTTCAATTACCGTTCTTGTCTGTCTGTGTAGGTGTTAGAATTTACAAAGCATCGAGAGAATCAATAGGGCTATTTTTGTAGGAGAAATATTGGAAGAACAGCCTCTTTTAACTAATGCAACTAAGGAAATTATGAATTGAAATATTTTTGTCCATGTAGTAATTTTCGAGTGGTTTCATACAGTGCCATATTTTCTTTCATATTTTCTTGTTCAAGCAAAAATGTGAACTTAAACATCTACAAAAAAACATGTAAAAATGCATTGAACGCACGCAAACCGTAGAAATCTTAATCATGAAGTAAGTTTTGAAACAGTGTGGTATTTCTAAAAATGTAGAATTTTAAAACATTCTCTTATGCAATTTATTAAAAAAACCGATCAAAGTTCACCGTATTAAGATGACTAAGAGTCGTTTGTATAACACGTCAGCTAAGCGAGCTAAAGCTTAGTGAGATTTTACTGAAGGTAAGACATGACGAGAAATATACTCTGCGATTTCTGTTCGAAGCTGTAACTTCTATCGCACTTGTGAAATTTCGAATCCTCAAAGAGAGACTAGCAAGTAAAATTTGACACGAAGGGTTGTAGGAAGCAGGAAGTGGCTATAAACTTCAATAACAACTATTTCGCGCTCGATCACTCTAAGATTTGTAAAAAATATAATTGCAGTCATCACCTTTTATACTTACCAAGCAGTTAGATCAATCGAAGCCTTGTAAACAATAATCCAATTGCAATCGCCTGCTTTAGGGAATCGGGTGGTTTTATGGCAGAGATATGGTCAAATGTTGCTGATAGAGCCGGCAACACGCGGTGGTTCCCTTTCGAAGACAATCGCATTAAAACTGAAAATATAAAGTCGCTGGCCATGAGATGCTATGGTCCATTCGACATTTAATCGTTTCACGAACGATCGAACATTTTTTTCATGGACAGGAAGACCTCAGTCCTTTCAAACGAAAAAAAATTGTTCCTTCAGTCTGCGTGGAAATTATTTGTTAAATATGATTTTTTTTGTCCCGATTTTGACTGAGTGTGCCATGGATTGGCGAATTTTTAACGAGCGCGCTCACTCATAACCTGTCGACTGCGTGGGTGAGCCACTTTGGGGGCTGTGCCTGCCAGTCAAATGGACCATCCCACGCGCGTTCAACTCCCTTCTGACCAATAACACGAGGAAGAAAATCATTAAAAATAAATAATACCCAGCATCTAATTGGACAAAAAGAAGTCTAACAACCAAAAAATTAATCTAGAAATGAAACGAAGAAATTATAATTACTTGTTACGGCTACTCCAAGTGATAAGTTAAAACAAAACGTTGAATGGCATTTAATTCAGACAACTTTTCTGTTCTAATCGGCAATTAATTTTCCATACAAAGAATTTTAGTTTAAGAGAAAATTCTGATTTAAACTACTTTAAAATTAATCAGTCGCCGAAAAGGTTTTGTTCTTGGAACGAACTCACAAAGAAGATGGAATATAGCGGGGTAGTATTTGTGTGTCAATA